GGGAGTACCCACACTTTACTCTGATCAAGTACCTGCGTTGTCACGACACGTGGGGTAAATGGATTCTCTAAATATACCGTGAACAACCAGGCCACTTAACAGTGCCAATATATCTTAACCAAAACTCTGATGGGTGGTGCTTTTATTAATCGCGGTCTTGCGTTCGGAGGCAGCGCGGTTGCACCACCACCATCGCCACCACCAACATCGCCACCACCACAACGACCACCATCGCCACCACCACCAACATCGCCACCACCACTACCACCACCATCGCCACCACCACCACCACCACCAACATCGCCACCACCACAACCACCACCATCGACACCACCACCATCGCCACCACCACCACCATCGCCACCACCACCGCCACCAACATCGCCACCACCATCGCCACGTGTCCTCGTCGCCTGCAAGGCCGCGTCACGGCGAATTCTGCCGAGTCGGCATTTTCCAGACGACGTTCCGCACGGGCGCGTTGCTCGCCACGCGACTCTTGAGGAAAGTTCGCGGGGCTCTGGGAAGGAGGCATCGTGGTTGGGAGGGATGATGATGGTGGTGATGATGATGATGGTGGTGGTGATGATGGTCACCAACGGACTGCTGACGGAACGGCAGCCAGTGGGGGGACAAAAACGGCGCTCCCCGAGAGGAGCCCCACCGCAGAGATGGAGCGATGAGACCGGCAGCTCTTGGGCAGCAGTCAGAGGATGGGTTGAGGGCATCGCAGGAGGTTTTGGGGGCGGTGACGGCTGCATCCAGCAGTCGATAGAACATGGCTGATGGTAACCTCTTCACTTGTTACAACTCTGGTTGGTGTTAATAATAATAATTTTTGATCTTTTAAAATTACTTTCTGCTCTCCATTCGCTCTCAATTCCAGCGTCGTTGTCAATCCGCCTCTGGGTCACGGCCTCGCCACGCCGCGCGGATCCGGGGGTGGCGTTGGAGGTCATTTGACCAAACTTCAGCACGCTGCCCCGTGCAGCTTGGTGCAGGCGGAGTGCGTGTTCATGGGTGAAGTGTTGTTGAGTGCAGGTGCCGTGGTCCGGGTTGGTGAAGTGCAGCGTCAGCGCCTGGTTGACATACGGTACTCGCCACTGATGGTAGCCGTGAATCGAATTCAGGTGGCTTTGATCTTTTTTTCCCCATTATTATCATTATCGTTAACCAGAGGTCGCAGTGAAACGAGGTTTGTATAGCCACATTGCCACATTACACACCGCTTATGATGGGCGCCCACCGTGCATAACAGGTGTTATAGGTTTCGTTACTTCTTCCGGTGGGCAGCAGACGGCAGTAAAGCAAACATCCATTGTTGTACTGTACTCCTGTCGTGCCGCGACTGCGCTCCTCCCCGCCTTCTCCAACCGGCTCCGACCCGCGTGGTGAAGTATGGTCGCATAGCCTCCCACGACCAGCACAGCGTGGCGGAGGCCTTCATCCAGCAGTGGATTGACAAGCATGGCTGTATCAGTGCGTGTAGACCACGTGGGCAGGCGTGCATTGTCTGGGTGTTCTCCAAAACGATTTCATCATCATCATCAGCGCTCTCTCTCTCGAGAGTGGTTATATCCCACAAGATGTTAAGGAGAAGGGGCCCATACAGCCCCCCCCGTTTTACAGCAGCGACATATAACGCGCTCTCTGTGTGTCGCGCGGAGCGGTGGTGCAGTGGTTAGCGCTCTGCGCTACGAACCCGGCCACCCGAGTTCGATTCCCGCTCACGGCCGTCTGGAACGCTCTTCCTTCCGATATGAGGAAGCCACTCTGAGCTATGCACTTTGAAATCTCAATTGAAAACTAATTTCTTTAGAACTGCGTTTTGTGTTTAGTTTGTTGTCCTTCCCCCGCACCTCCGATTAGCACGGTAGAGCTACGCACGGTGCGAAAGAAGTTCAACATACACCAACACCAGTGACAATTATCTGAACCGGTTCTGGGCCTCCCCTACGTCGACTCAACCTCAAATTAGTATCTTGTACGAGGTATAAACATCGCCAGTCGGGAGTGAAAGGCGGCCGGGCGTGGTGCTGGCCACCGACCCCTTCGTGTTCCATTGCCGGCCTTCCACAGGTGCTACTCGCTAACAGCACTTGCCCCAACAGTCTGTTAAAGGCTATACGGGGGGATCTTTGTCTTTGTGTACACTGCGAGGCATTACGAAAGCGGGATGCCGGGGAGTGTAACAACTAAGAGAGTGAGAACGCTTTAACAAGTAGGCTTTCGCGACCAATATTATTCATAGTAAAGCTTTTTGGGTTAGATCGCGTTATTTATAAATGTGTCGTAACCCTCCACCACCCGACACGGCCAATCAGCAAAAAAAGTGTCACGTTGACGAAAGACAAATAGTTCACTTCTTTAGCCCACCGGTGTGTTGAAGAGTGAATCCACAACATTTACAGTTTGAGTAGTACGACGTTTCGCTGGTAATTACATCCAGCGGTACGTCGAAGAGTAAAGAACGCACTGATTGCCGTGTTCTCCTTCTCAGACGAGACGCGATTTGTTCCCGTCATATAATCCGGTGTCTGTGTGTGACCCGTCATATAATCCGGGGTGTGTGTATGACCGGATTTGTAAACGTGATTGACACTGGGCACACGTTTGGTATGCATCTAACCTTCCAGGGCGTCGTATAAACCTGGGAATACGGAATAGCGAGAATGAACTCCCATGAGTTGTGATGTACACGTGGATCGTCGGGGGGCGGTGGTGAAGTGGTTAGCACGCCCCGTGCCGTGAATCCGGCGACCTGAGTTCGATATCCGGCCACGACCAAACATCAGTGATTGACACCTGCACCGCTCCCGAGAGATGTCCCCTTTACCAACACGTACTGGACCAGCGTGGTGAAGTATGGTCAAAGTCAGACGACCCGAATGACCGACTCTGGGTGGGAAGACACTCGCGACTCGATCCAGCAGTGGAGCGACAACGAGCTGGTGATTTATTATCTCTGTGGGTACTGCATATCGCGAATTACACAGCACCGTACTTGAACGTGAAAGGAGACTGACAGTGTTTCTGTATTTAAATCGAAGCCGCCCCTTGCATTGGTACTAAGATCCACGACAGTGTCCTGTATTTGGTGAGCAAATTCATTCGTGGCGTTGGTCGATTCTAAAAAATAAGCGATCAGCTCAGTGGGCTGTACCTGGTGAGATTTAAAAACAAAAACATACTTTAGTTTTATTTGTATATCATTTCAAAGGGATTTGTGTTTACCTTTTCTATACTTTGCACCCTTAGCGCGTGTTTGTATTGTTTGTTGTGGTTGTTACGTTCTGACCAGGTGCCCCTACTGGACATGTGTGAAAAAGAGCTTTATAGCTCATCGGATTCCTCTGCTGTAAACAAATATTCAGATTTGCCCAGCCTTGCTGAGTCTCAACATTCCTGCTCAGGAGGCTCCTACAGTACTCGAGTACTGTCTAGTGTACTGCCTAGAGTACTGTCTAGAGTACTGTTAGAGTACTGCCTAGAGTACTGCCTAGTCTAGTGTCTAATAGACGACTTTCTAGTCTGGTGTCCCACACGGAGGAGCACCGCTCGGCATGTTCGCACCGAGGCGGAGGAGGAGGAGACGCGACAGAGAAGGCGGATGGAGTGTTTATTGTGACGAGACGCTCAGCGCGAGCAGCAGCACCTCAATGGTCGTCATCATCACCATCGTCATAATCGTCATCATCGTCGTCATCATCATCGTCCTCATCGTCGTCATAATCGTCATCATCATCATCATCATCCTCCTCATCGTCGTCATACCACTCTTGTCAGCGCGATCGTACACCCGTCGCGGTCAGTTTACGACGACAATAAATACGTCAATTAACATGAACATAAATAATCATAAATTATCATAAATAAAACAACCGTACATTAAATACTAAATTAAAAACTTTAAAACAAACACGTCTTAATGTTTCACCTCCGGCTCAATAACTTAAATAAATAGTAATGATGTACTTAATAAATAGGCAATGAATAAGGAATGTTTTTAAAGCGATGCGCGCTCGGGTCAACGCGTGAGCTCCAGAGAGATGGAGGCAAGCGCCGAGCGATCTTGATTTGAAGCTGTCGTGACTGCAGGAATCCATTCTCTTTGGTTCTTTCAGCAAAGTCACGTGGGTTAGAAAAATGATAGATCACGACGTTTCGATCGCAACACAAGCGACCGTCATCAGGTGGGGACAACCACAGCAAGAAAGCGCCGAGCGGTTTGCGCGCCCGTCCACCGCACGTCGCGGGAGGAACGTGGCCGCAGTTGCGCGCAGAGGGCCGGGGGGAGCCCCCCCGTGGGGGGCGGGGTTCGACTCCTCAGTCCCCCCGGGCGGGGGGGGGGGGGCTCTCTGCGCATCGCTGCAGAGCGTCTGGGCAGGCAAGCCGCGTGACCGGCAGTTCAAGGCGCGTGACCAATTGTGTATCAAAATATTAATATCGTCGTGACTATTTCATCGAACTTTTAAAACTTTAAAAAAGAAAAATTCAAGTAATACGTTTCATCATCGGCTCAAAACGTCATAAATAGTAACAATGCAATTGATACAAAAAAATAACAGTGCTTAATAAATACTTCGGCTCAAAACGTCATAAATAGTTATACAATGTAATTAATAAATAGTAACTGTACTTTAAACGTAGGCAATAAATAGGGTTTTTTTTTTTAAACAATTCGCTTTGATAAAAATGTTCATCGAGTGCAGCATTGGGCCCGTATCGCGTCCGGGACAATAGTTTAGGCACGTGACTGGGGGGGTGGGACAGGGGGCTGCCACCTCGGAGGTCACCGCGCATCTGACGCAACACCGCCACTTGCGAGGGCGATTCCGGGAACACCGTGACAGGTGGCAACCTTCCACACGTCGCACGTGCCGAGTTAAACGCAGGCACAACGAGACGTATACTTGATGTGGTTCGCCGGGCGCGGACGCCTTTAGGATCGCACAGTCCTGGGTGTTGGCACAGCAGCAGCAGCGGCGACGGAGGGCGACTCACTGCAGGGACTTTCTGGGCCGCTTCTCTGCACCCTGCCGCTTCTTTCCGCCTCGCTGCTTCTTCGCTCCCGGCTTCCGCTTCCCGCCGCCGCCTCCGCGCCGACCGCCCGACGGCTTCTCGCGATCCGCGCGCTCCGTGCACGCGATGGGCAGCAGCTCCGTCTCTCTGAGCACCTTGCGGAGCATCGCCTCGTCCGAGGGAATCTGCGTCGACGGGGAAGAACACGCGGGCGGACACGGTGAGACCCTTGAGTATCCCCGCCACGCCGTTCGGCCAATTGCGGTGACGGACTGCAGGCAATTGACTGACCACGTAAGTCCTCTAGGACGCGTTCTCGTGTGCGCGTTGTTACTGCAGGGACTTGTAAAACTCACCTTGAGAATGGCATCAGCGAGTCTTGTCATGATTTTCTTGAATGTGGCGTCCTGTTCGCCTTCCTGCGTCGTTCCCTGTTGATACAAAACCAATAATCCAACGTCAGTGTCAAGTGTAACACAAAGGTAAGCTCCCTCTCATTGAGCAGCTCCCTCGTGACTGGCCAGAAGCGGCGGTGAGAAGTTTCGGATCACTTCCTCCAGAGTCACAATTGGAGCATTGGCTGGCTTCCTCCAGAGTCACAATTGGAGCATTGGCTGGCACTGCCACTCATGAACAGGATAAATGTGAGCCAAGCAGTGCAAGATATCAAAATATTTAACTTCAATCCATGAGGCACTCGCTTTGTTGCCTGATGGATTTGACTGACGCCTCCCGTAGGAATGTGAATTATCCACCACTGGCTCAGGATGGCCGAGGCAGATGGAATCCGTCGCTCAACATCCCACGTAAGTGGCCATCATAGAGCTACCTCTGAGATCCCTTCCAGTTGAACTCTGGTCCACGCACTGTGAGTCTGTGTGAGTGCGCGGTGTGGCTCTCTGGACTTACGCAGCTGGGCCGAGCGAAGCTGCTGAATGTACCGCGCTCCTTCCTCGCTTCCCCATTGCTCATGAAGCGCAGAGTTCCCACTGCGTGGAAGGCGGCCACGTACAGCTCGGCCACTGCCTTGCGGAAGAGGCACACGCTGGCCTCGTCTTGCTTCAGCTGCGGGGGAGAGAGGTGGAGAGACGCTGTGAGCAACGTGACACTCATCAGGATGATGATGATGACTTTGATGACGATGTATTATTGATGGTGCATTGTTGAACACGGGCGAAGCCAAGCAATTGGAAATGCCAACGTACCACGTGGTGACGCATTTCGTCCGTGTTGGGCAGGATCCTGAAGTTGTGCTGATCATCTGGAACCTGCACAGCACACGTGACAGCGCAGTGTTAGTTACACGAGCTGTGGTACTGCGAGCATGTGTGCTGTGGAGTGCATGCGCTGTACCATACAGGCTGACTGATTGTTCACACAACTCATGCAGGAAAAGAGGCAATTAACCGCTATCTGCAGGAGGTAATTGAGGGAGCGGTGGCGCACGAGTTGGCGCACTGCAATGTGAATCAAGCATCCTGAGTGCGACTCCCGGCCAAAGGCTGACAACCTCGAGTCTTCTCATTCACCAATCCGCACTGACCAGCGCGGTGAAGTATGGTCAAAGACCTGCACTACCAATGCGGCGTGAAGAAGCACTCCATTCAGCAGTTTCAGTTTTCAGTTTAAATTATTCGGTATAACCCTGTGAGCCATGCGGCTCTTGACTCGGGTGCTACCGCAACAAACAAAAACATGAACAAGAAACATCTTAAGGTGACTACACGCAACAGAAAAATCCAGGAAAAAACAGGAAAGTCTCTCAGAAGCAGTGGAATTACAAAGTACCGTCAGCTAAGTTGGCAATTGCCGCTCGGCTAAGTCGCGATTCTGGCGGTGCGCGCTCGGGTGGCGCGTGAACGCGCGCACCGCTCCACGCAATGCCCATTCTTCACACACTGCCAAGACGAACCGGCTCAGACGCTCATTCATTCAATGGGCAACGTCACTTACTTTATTCACGACCTTCACGAGTTTCTTCATGTGCTCGGTGCTCAGAAATCCGGACGTACAGATGTCCATTCCCGTCGCCCTGGCGCTCGCCTGCAGGGCCATTCCGGCCACGAGGCAGAGCAGGAGCGTGCACGACCCGCGAGCTTCCATTCCGCTCCTCTTGGTGAGTGCTGGCGGTAGAAGTTGCCGCTACGACGGTGACCCACGACGACGGCGCGATCGCGTTCACTGAGTCTCGATGAGTCGCGTCGAGTCGTCTTCAACCGAGTTGCTCGCGGAGAGTCACGCCAAGTATCCACCGACTGCGCTCCCTGAGCTCCTCTCGCTGCTTCTGAGGGCCCCATGATACCTGCCTCGGTTTATATCGTCCACGAGAGAAACCCTCCGTCGGAAAGCCCGTCTAATCGAAAGCTTGACGAAGTAGCGACAAACCCCCGTGTCGTCTCTCTTTTTCGCTTCCTCTCCCCGCGCACCGTCGTTTCGGCACCGACTCGTTTCGCTTTCGTGTGGGCGGGCGGAGTTTCACGCGTCGTCCACACGTGAGACGTTCCGCCCAGCGCCAACGTTCAAGAGAGAGAGAGGGTGTCATGCGCAGCTTCTCATGCCGTGTGTGTGTGTGTTTTATGCCGCTAGGGATTGCATCGGCGGAATGCCGTGAGAGTTCAGAATGAACCGATTACCGCTGTCTCCGGGCTCTTAAAAAAAGGTCGAAAGCGTGCACAGATTACCGCATTCCCCCACCCAAGGTGATTGTAAAGCCACACTTTGTGGTGCGTCTTGTAATCCGACACGCGCGTGTGTGTGGGCGTGTCTATGTCTTTGTACGTGCGCAGATTTGTGAACTTTATCTACACCGGGCACAGATTCGGGATGCTTCAAACTTTTTCAGAGCGTCTTATAATCCGGAGTTTATGGCAATCGCGATAATGAACTCTCACAAATCCGTGGCATTCATTTACGCGTGTTATCACGGAGGGTGAGCGGTGGTTTGATAATTACTCGGCCGCAGGGGACATCAGCGGCGAGTGTCATCTCTCACCAGTCCTGAGCGATCCCCTTTCACCAACCCGCACTGGACCAGCGTGGTGTAGTATGGTCAAACTGCCCCAATGACCAACATTGGCGTGGGAAGACACTTCAAGAGTAGAATGTCGTCAAATATCCGAAAAAAAATGTATCCGAAAAAAATACGCATTTAAATATAACCTGTATTAATTGTTTCAAAGTATATCGCGATAATTAGGTTGCCATTGATTTGCTCAAGAAGGTATCCTTCGGTCTCAAGACTGTTTTCATGAGGGTGCTGCCACCGGATGTTTGACTTCATATCGGAGCAAGCCGGAGCACGACAGGAAACAATCCACCACGTATATGAGAGGATAACATTCAAAGCTCTGCACAGATAGATTCAATATTCCATTGCTGCCCTGTTATCTTCTGCACTTTGTCAACTAACAGCCAAAGCCTACAACACCCTGGTGCATTACCTGCTCGTCTCCCTTTTTCAAGTAAAGTATGTATTGTATATTCTTGGTTCTTTCGGTAAAGTCACGTAGAAGGGAAACAATAAAATTATATATTTTTTTTAAATTAAGAACCAAGAATAGGAATCCCTGCAGTCACGAAAGCTTTAAATCTAAATATGTACTGTATGTTGATCTTCTTTCGCACCGTACGTAGCTAACCCGTGCCAATCGGTGGTGCCGGCGAAGGATAACGAACTCAACACAAACAGCAGGACCAGTCTCAAAGTCTGCGCGGCTTCCAATATCCGGGCAGTGCCGGCTGTGCACGTGGCCTGCAGGAGGCCAGGGGGTTTATGGATCACACGTCCTGAAACCACCATTCCCGTGGGCGTTGAGCAGCTTATACCCTAACTTGGCAGGAGAAGGCGGCACAGAAACAATGTGGACTCCGCCTATTGCATCTGTATGGGGATAGAGAGTTTCCCCCCTCGCATGCGTGGGGTTTTTTTTTTGTCCGAGTGCTCCGGTTTTCCTCCCACATGCAAAAACTCATTAATTAACCGATTGATAACTCCTTGTATGGAGAAACGCAGAGCTTGGACAATTGTTATCGCCAGCTCACCGCGTGGGAACTGAGCGGCGCATTTTAAGTTTACATTACTATCATCATCATTATTGGTATTAAATCCGACGAAATGGGACGCGTTCCTGGTGGTTTTGGTGGTTGAACGTCGGCGAGATTATTTGCACGCGAATCTTATCTCTGCCGGTCAAGTATTTACCACTGAGCATGGCGCGTGCGTATTCGTCAGCGCAACGCGAGCGGCGAAACCAGGTCACTGCTGGAATCGCTTTTTTTTTGGTCTAAGGCTCACAACAAATCCAACGGCTCCACTACATAGATGCATACTACAAAGGCAGTCAGAGGAACACGTGTGTGTGTGTGTGCCGGGGGAAAGATATTGAAGGTGGCCCCCGATGTTACATTTTTTTTATTCATATGAATGAAAGAGGCGGATGAAAGAGATACACAGAGACAGAGAGCTGGGCGGAAGTGCTGTCGCAAAAAAAGCTGAAGTTGACTTTACCGAAAGAACCAGAGTATTGATAATTAAAGTAAACACAGCCGCGTGGCCGTGAGCATCACGCGGCGATTGGGGTCTCATTGGTGCAGAAGCTCCTGCAGACATTCGCGACTCGTTTCCCCGCACCTGCGACGAGCACGGTTGGTCTACGTACGGTGTGAAAGACGTTCAACGCACAGTGCATACGCTACATACGCACGCACTACTTTCATACCGAGCGGAAATTGAAAAATGTGGAAGGAAAGAGATTCACGCTTGGAATTGTTTTGAGAGTCGTACAGGGGAGCCTCGTGGTTTAGAGAACGTACGCAGGGTGAAGCATTGCACTTTGAACTGTGAGTGCAGGAGAGTGACATTTAGACCGGATCCGTCATGACTAGAAGGGATGATAGCCTACGGTCAAGAATAATAATTCTCCAGATTATAAGATGCACTCCCCCCAACGTAGTTTAAATAAAACGCTGGTAATGCGTCTTATAATACTGTGTGTGTGAGAAAGAGAGAGACCGGATTTATATGTATGTTGAACTTCTTTCGCACCGTACGTTAGTCAAGATTATAAGACGCACTCCCCCCAACGTAGTTTAAATAAAACGCTGGTAATGCGTCTTATAATACTGTGTGTGTGAGAAAGAGAGAGAGCGGATTTATATGTATGTTGAACTTCTTTCGCACCGTACGTTAGTCAACCGCGCCAATCGGAGGTGCGTGGGGAAGGACAGCAAACTAAACACAAAACGCCGTACTTAACAAAGCAGTTTTCAGTCCAGGTGATTTTAAAGTGCTTAGCTCGAGTGGATTCCTAACGGAGCGTTCCAGGCGGCCGCAGAGGCTCATCTGAAAGCCACCGCTGCGATGATGACCGGAGCTGGCGTGATGGTGGTGATGATAAGCTCCTCCACGAGATCGGCAAAGGTTGTTTGTGGTTCATTTGTGGCCGAGCGCTTTGCGTGCGATGAGTGCGTGGGCCACCTTTTTGCGACGCGTTCGTTTGGCGAACCCGGTAGCCAATGAGGCTCGGCGAGCACCGATCTTGGAGTTCCCCGTCACGACACGTGCCAGAGGATGATATATCTACTGCGAATGATATATTAAGGTGGAGGCATGTTTCAAATAAAGTAATTCGCTGGCTGCAAATGATTACACTGCACGTGATAGGTAGGCGTACAGTCGTGCCAGACACCACTGTCCGTAGTCGATAATAAACTCGCAGGCCTTGGTCGATCCACTGCTGGGTGGTGGGCAGGCGTTGTTGCCCAACACAGTATAGGACACTCGTATCATACAAGTAGCACATGCTGTATATAAATAGCAACCCCCAACTTATCCGTGAATAATTCCGCCTTGAAATAGCATATACACTGTGTATATAAATAGGACACGTTTTGGGTACATCATTTATGCACTGTGAAGAAGGGCCACATGTCATGACATTTTCTTGTTAAGTTAAGGCTGCGGTGTTATTCAGGATGAGGGTCCATTTATGCTCGTTGCACCCACTTGGCGACGCGTCACCACCAGCAGCATCATCATCATATCGACGTCTACTGCTATTTAAATCGCCTGCATCATCGTCGCAAGCGGTTTCGCTACCGTGGGCGTCGTGATGAGAAGAGCCCACAGCGACTCGCCCCAGCAGTGGCGGGGCAGTTATTCATTGAGTGGCCGCGCCGTTATCAATGAGAGTATTGTATCTTGATTTGAGTATTGGTGTTCTTCGCATTGGCTTGCAGCCCTGCACCCCGTCAGCTCGTGCCGGCCTCTCTTGACCCAACCACGTGTTTGAGTATCGCTGCAGCCACAGGGGGCGACAACCCAGAACGCGACTTACACAGCTCCCCCCCCCCTCCCGGGGTATGGGGGGGGGGCATTTGCGAGATGTTGCAACCTTAAAAACGAGCCGCCAATTTGCTCGCGAAGAAACAGCTTTGAAGTTTCCACTTACGAGCTACAATTTGCGATGTATCGAAGATAAAGGCGCAGCCCTGCAGTTGCCGGCTCGCGCCACCCTGCTGGCGGAAGGGCATTCGCTCAGAGGCAGCTCTAGACCGCCTTCTAGAGCAGCGGATCTTAATCTTTACTTGCAGCCTTGTACCCCTTTGGTTCTCAATCGTAAAATAAACAATTTATAATGTTAATAAATGCAAAAGGTTTGATGAAACAAAGTTGTACTTACGTGCCCGTGCTTAAATTGTGTTTTCGATTATTTACATTCAAAAGAATAAAATCTGGCAATGTCTCGCACCCCCACAAAGGGCATCTCGCACCCCCAGGGGGTCCAGGATGCACCCCAGGTTGAGAAGAGCCACTGAATGAGACTCACCGGGAGGAGCGGCGCCGAAGTGGTTAATGCACCTCCGTTTAGCACGGTCGGCTACATACGCTGCGAAAAAAAACACAGTTCAAGGTACGGGCGTGATGCGAACGGCTACGATTAACCGGCCACCTAAATTCCCTGCCAAGACAATGCACACCTGCCCACGTGGTCTACACGTTCGTGTACAGCCATGCTTGTCAATCCACTGCTGGGTGAAGGCCTCCGCCACGCCGTGCTGGTCGTGGGATGCTATGCGACCATACTTCACCACGCGGGTCGGAGCCGGTTGGAGAAGGCGGGGAGGAGCGCAGTCGCGGCACGACAGGAGTACAGTACAACAATGGATGTTTGCTTTACTGCCTTCTGCTGCCCCCCGGAAGAAGTAACGAAACCTATAACACCTGTTATGCACGGTGGGCGCCCATCACAAGCGGTGTGTAATGTGGCAATGTGGCTATACAAACCTCGTTTCACTGCGACCTCTGCTTAACGATAATGATAATAATGGGAAAAAAAAGATCAAAGCCACCTGAATTCGATTCACGGCTACCATCAGTGGCGAGTACCGTATGGCAACCAGGCGCTGACGCTGCACTTCACCAACCCGGACCACGGCACCTGCACTCAACAACACTTCACCCATGAACACGCACTCCGCCTGCACCAAGCTGCACGGGGCAGCGTGCTGAAGTTTGGTCAAATGACCTCCAACGCCACCCCCGGATCCGCGAATGGAGAGCAGAAAGTAATTTTAAAAGACCAATAATAATTTTTAATATTATTAACACCAACCAGAGTTGTAACAAGTGAAGAGGTCACCATCAGCCATGTTCTATCGACTGCTGGATGAAGCCGTCCCCGCCCCCCAAAACCTCCTGCGATGCCCTCAACCCATCCTCTGACTGCTGCCCAAGAGCTGCCGGTCTCATCGCTCCATCTCTGCGGTGGGGCTCCTCTCGGGGAGCGCCGTTTTTGTCCCCCCCCCCCCCCCCCCCCACTGGCTGCCGTTCCGTCAGCAGTCTCGTCCGTTGGTGACCATCACCACCACCATCACCACCACCATCACCATCATCATCAACCACCATCACCACCACCATCATCATCATCACCATCATCAACCACCATCACCACCATCATCAACCACCATCACCACCACCATCATCACCATCATCATCAACCACCATCACCACCACCACCATCATCATCAACCACCATCACCACCACCATCACCACCACCATCATCATCAACCACCACCACCATCATCATCATCACCATCATCAACCACCATCACCACCACCATCACCACCACCATCACCACCATCATCAACCACCATCACCACCACCATCATCAACCACCATCACCACCACCATCATCAACCACCATCACCACCATCACCACCACCATCATCATCAACCACCATCACCATCATCATCACCATCATCAACCACCATCACCACCACCACCATCACCACCACCATCACCATCACCACCACCATCATCAACCACCATCACCACCACCATCAACCACCATCACCACCACCATCATCAACCACCATCATCAACCACCATCACCACCACCATCACCACCACTATCATCAACCACCATCACCACCACCATCATCAACCACCATCACCACCACCACCATCATCATCATCCCTCCCAACCACGATGCCTCCTTCCCAGAGCCCCGCGATCTTTCCTCAAGAGTCGCGTGGCGAGCAACGCGCCCGTGCGGAACGTCGTCTGGAAAATGCCGACTCGGAAGAATTCGCCGTGACGCGGCCTTGCAGGCGACAAGGACACGTGGCGATGGTGGTGGTGGTGGCGATGGTGGTGGTGGTGGCGATGGTGGTTGTGGTGGTGGTGGCGATGGTGGTAGTGGCGATGGTGGTGGTTGTGGTGGTGGTGGCGATGGTGGTGGCGATGGTGGTGGTGGCGATGGTGGTGGTTGTGGTGGTGGCGATGGTGGTGGTGGTAGTGGTGTAGGGCTCGCGGTGCCACCGCGCTGCCTCCGAATGCAAGACCGCGATTAATAAAAGCACCACCCATCAGAGTTTTGGTTAAGAGATATTGGCACTGTTAAGTGGCCTGATTGTTCACGGTACATTTAGAGTATCCATTTCCCCCACGCGTCGTGACAACGCAGGTACTTGATCAGAGTAAAGTGTGGGTACTCCCAACTTATCCAAGACGTCTGGGCTGCGTGGAAGAGTAGGCCGAATACACCCCGAGAGGGGCTCTCGAGAGCTCCCTTTAGTGGAGGCCTGTCCGGTAACAGTCTCGCGAGCAATGCATTGCAGGGTTGCGCCTCTATCTTTACCCTATCATCATCACGAGACACGACCCTATATGGACATCACTTTCTGGTGGCTCCGAAGGAGAGCGCTTTCCCGAAACGTCATGTTAACACCGTAGCTACCTTTACACCAATAATAATAAAAATACCAACTCGCGTATTCTCACAATGCCTTTACTTCAAATCGCCTGATGTATTCTAAGATGTATGAGGTCCCTGCTAAGCTGTAGGTGCCCACTCTCGGTAGACATGAGAAGGCACCTTGACACGTGCGACACTTCTGCTTGACGACACCGCAAGTGCGTGGGCAGTGTTGCTCCTCCCGGCGAATCGCATCCCAGCTCTCCCTATCATGCGCGCGCTCTCGGGTCGTGCCGCGTGATGTCAGACGATAGAGGACCGGACAATTATGGCATGTCGCCTGATGAAGCTGGTTGCAATCGCCAGCGAAACGTCGTACTGAAATTGTAAATGTTGTTGTGGGTTTACTCTCCAGCGCACCGGTGTGCTGAAGTCGTAACTAAATGCCACGTTTTTGTTTACGTGACAAACCTTACTAATTGGCTGTGTCGGGTTTTGGCGGGTTTTACGACACATTCATGCGATCTAACCTGCCAAAAAAAACCTTTATTATGAACAATATTGTTGCCGAAAGTCTACGCGTTAAAGAACAACCTATAGCTCGGTTGAACACGTGTATCCCGTTCGCGCACAGAGTGCAACTTTCCACGCGTCACCTTTTTTTATCTTGTCGAATTCGTTTTGGCGATGTCAGCATGAGCCACGTGCGACAGACGCGCTTCTGCGGCCGTCTGGAACGCTCTTCCTTCCGGTATTAGGAAGCCCACTAGAGATATCCACTTTGAAATCATCATCCAGATTAAAAAAAAAATAGAATTTCTTTCAGAACTGCGTTTTGTGTCTAGTTTGTTGTCCTTCCCCCGCACCTCCGATTGCCACGGTTGGCTACGTACGGTGTGAAATAAGTTCAACATAAAAACATAAAGATGCCACCCAGTGACTGACAGCCACGATCGATTAGAGGCAACTATAACAACAACAACGGAGCGCGAGCAAGTATGGTACTCAGCACTGCCATCTTCTGGACACAGCAAAGGCAAAGAGCACCCCGTATAGCCTCAACAGACTGTCGGGGCAAGTGCTGTTAACGAGCACTTATCAAGGCAGGCACGGCACACGAAAAGAGGGGGCGGATGTTCGGCAAAATGCCACAATGCCCGACTGCCTTTGTCTCCCTACCGACTGAGTCGACCTCGGGGAGGCCCAGGACCTGTACAGAAAATCCTCACCGATGTTGGCTGTGAGCGGGAATGGAGCTCGGATCGCTGGGTTCGTGGCGCAGCGCCCTAACCGCTACACTTCCGCAACCCCCACACATCGCAACCCCACAACTACGCCACCTGGCATGCCCTGGTGTTTGGTCACCCATCCAAGAACTAACCAGGCTCAATCCGCCTTAGCTTCGGAGATCAAAGAGATGGGTCACGTTCAGTGTGATGTGGTCGTGAATCGCTGTGAAATATCCATTCTTGAAGCAATGGAACAAGTCGCGCGCACGCGAGGAGTTGCAAACTCTCCAAGCCATCCAGCGCGCGCGCAAGGCGGAGACTCGCGGAGACAATGGATTGTCTTTTGCCCTCAAGGCGAGTGCGAGGGGCCTTGCAACGTCTCGCGGCGGCGTCGTCGTCGTAGTCAGCAGCAGCGACGATCGCCGCCGTGCGAGGCAGGCAAGGAGAGGGGGTGGGGGACGTCCTCCGCGGAGACGGAGCTACGAGAACAGCTCGGGTGCAGCTGCTGGGGAGACTGCTGATGATGATGATCATCATCATGATGATCATGATGGTGCATGTGTGTATGCTGATCACCTTTTGCACCGTACGGAGCCAACCCCGCTGATCGGAGGTGCGCGGGAAGGACGATAAAGTAAACACGCACACGCGCACAAAAAAAAACTGTTAAAAAAGAAACGAGTTTTCAATCAAGATTTCAAAGTGCATAGTTTCAGTGGTTTCCTAATTTCGGAATGATTATGATGATCCAGAAGATGATCGTGACGAAAATGATCACGATGATGATGTAATTCGAGTAGCGTAAGCGAAACGTGTGTCGGAGTTTAAGAGGGCGGCTTCGTGGAACGTCTCAAAGTGAGAGCAACCGGGAGAGCTGTGACAGTCAAGAGGGCGAACACGGCAGGCGCGCGCGCGAGCGTGGGAGGAGGGGTGAGTCGGCGCGCCGAAACAGCCATAGGAAGTCCTCGCGAGCGACAGAAAGGAGGAAGTTCAGCACTCGCAACCGCCCACAAACCTCGCGTCCCACTCCTATCTCAGAGCACCTCCACGTCACTCGAAAGCCACCGCCGCCAACACTTTAGGTTTCCGTTTGCAAGGGGAGGGTTTGAAAGAGAGAGGGAGGGGGGAATTCTCCCATCCGCTCCGCCGTGACGCAACGGTGAAAGCGCTGCAGCGAACGCAGCCGTCTCTACTTTCGATTAGACGGGCTTTCCGACGGAGGGTTTCTCTCGTGGACGATATAAACCGAGGCAGGTATCATGGAGCTCTCAGAATCAGCCAGAGGAGCTCAGGGAGCGCAGTCGGTGGATACTTGGCGTGACTCTCCGCGAGCAACTCGGTTGAAGACGACTCGACGCGACTCATCGAGACTCAGTGAACGCGATCGCGCCGTCGTCGTGGGTCACCGTCGTAGCGGCAACTTCTACCGCCAGCACTCACCAAGAGGAGCGGAATGGAAGCTCGCGGGTCGTGCACGCTCCTGCTCTGCCTCGTGGCCGGAATGGCCCTGCAGGCGAGCGCCAGGGCGACGGGAATGGACATCTGTACGTCCGGATTTCTGAGCACCGAGCACATGAAGAAACTCGTGAAGGTCGTGAATAAAGTAAGTGACGTTGCCCATTGAATGAATGAGCGCCTGAGCCGGTTCGTCTTGGCATTGTGTGAAGAATGGGCATTGCGTGGAGCAGTGCGCGCGTTCACGCGCCACCCGAGCGCGCACCGCCAGAATCGCGACTTAGCCGAGCGGCAATTGCCACCGCTCCTCCAATTACCTCCTGCAGATAGCGGTTAATTGCCTCTTTTCCTGCATGAGTTGTGTGAACAATCAGTCAGCCTGTATGGTACAGCGCATGCACTCCACAACACACGTACTCGCAGTACCACAGCTCGTGTAACTAACGCTGCGCTGTCACGTGTGCTGTGCAGGTTCCAGATGATCAGCACAACTTCAGGATCCTGCCCAACACGGACGAAATGCGTCACCACGTGGTACGTTGGCATTGCCAATTGCTTGGCTTCGCTCGTGTTCAACAATGCACCATCAATAATACATCGTCATCAAAGTCATCATCATCCTGATGAGTGTCACCTTGCTCACCGCGTCTCTCCACCTCTCTCCCCTGCAGCTGAAGCAAGACGAGGCCAGCGTGTGCCTCTTCCGCAAGGCAGTGGCCGAGCTGTACGTGGCCGCCTTCAACGCAGCGGGAACTCTGCACTTCATGAACAATGGGGAAGCGAGGAAGGAGCGCGGTACATTTCACAGCTTCGTTCAACCCAGCTGCGTAAGTCCAGAGAGCCACACCGCGTCTCACACAGACTCACAGTGCGTGGACCAGAGTTCAACTGGAAGGGATCTCAGAGGTAGCTCTATGATGGCCACTTACGTGGGATGTTGAGTGATGGATTCCATCTGCCTCGACCTTCCTGATCCAGTGATGGAAATTCCTTATTTTTATGGCAGGCTTCAGTCAAATCCACCAAGAAACCACCATTGAGCTCCAAGTGACAATGGGCTAAGAACGATATACGATTTTGGACAACTGCAGACTTAAGTGTTTCAAGGATTGAAGTTAAATATTCTGATATCTTACAGTGCTTGGCTCACATTTATTCTGTTCATGAGTGGCAGTGCCAGCCAATGCTCCAATTGTGACTCTGGAGGAAGTGATCCGAAACTTCTCACCGCCGCTTCTGGCCAGTCACGAGGGAGCTGCTCAATGAGAGGGAGCTTACGTTTGTGTTACACTTGACACTGACGTTGGATTCTTGGTTTTGTATCAACAGGGAACGACGCAGGAAGGCGAACAGGACGCCACATTCAAGAAAATCATGGCAAGACTCGCTGATGCCAAACGCAAGGTGAGTTTTACAAGTCCCTGCAGTAACAACGCGCACACGGGAACGCGTCCTAGAGGATTTACGTGGTCAGTCAATTGCCTGCAGTCCGTCACCGCAATTGGCCGAACGGCGTGGCGGGAATACTCAAGGGTCTCACCGTGTCCGCCCGCGTGTTCTTCCCCGTCGACGCAGATTCCCTCGGACGAGGCGATGCTCCGCAAGGTGCTCAGAGAGACGGAGCTGCTGCCCATCGCGTGCACGGAGCGCGCGGATCGCGAGAAGCCGTCGGGCGGTCGGCGCAGAGGCGGCGGCGGGAAGCGGCAGTGGAGAGTGCAGAAGCCGCACCTCGCAAAGCACCAGCGCAGAATCTCGTGGCAGTGAGCCGCCCTCCGTCGCCGCTGCTGCTGCTGTGCCAACACCCAGGAGTGTACATTCGAAAATGCGTCCACGCCCGGCGAACCACATCAAGTATACCTCTCGTTGTGCCTGCGCTTGACTCGGCACGTGTAACGTGTGGAAGGTTGCCACCTGTCACGGTGTTCCCGAAATCGCCCTCCTTTTGAGGTGCAGCTGTCTCGCAGAGTCTCGAATTCCCACCGGAACATCGCACGTGGCGGTGTTGCGTGAGTGGCGCGGTAACGCGCATCTCACCGTAGCGCCACGACGCTCTGGTACCACCCCTCCCCCCCCCCCCCCCCTGCTTGAGGGGTCGTCGTGAGACTTTTTTTTCTCTCTTTGACGAGATTCGTGCCGGGGGCTTTTTTTACGCCTTTGTGGATCACCGAGGTGGCAACACCCCCCCACGCTACCCCAGTCACGTGCCTTGCCTGCCAGTCACGTGCCTTGCCAGCCAGTCACGTGCCTTGCCTGCCAGTCACTTGCCTTGCCTGCCAGTCACGTGCCTTGCCTGCCAGTCACGTGCCTTGCCTACCAGTCACGTGCCTTGCCTGCCAGTCACTTGCCTTGCCTGCCAGTCACGTGCCTTGCCTGCCAGTCACGTGCCTTGCCTACCAGTCACGTGCCTTGCCTGCCAGTCACTTGCCTTACCTGCCAGTCACGTGCCTTACCTGCCAGTCACGTGCCTTGCCTGCCAGTCACGTGCCTTGCCTGCCCAGTGCTCCCAGCGAGCCAGAGGACCCGCGACGCGGAGTCGAACCCTGGACTCGTGGGTGCCGGACAGGGGGTTCGAAGCGGGCTCCCAGCTGTGCTCGCTGAGCGATACGTTCGCCAGACGCGCATTGTTCAAAACCATTTCTGAGTTATTGTCTATTTATTAAGTACAGTGTTAATATTTATTTATAGCTATGAGCCGTTGATGAAACATATCGACACGTGTTTAAATTTGAACATTTCTACCATATGTTTATGCTAATTCACGAACATGTACATTTATTTATGATAATTTAGTGAATTGTTTAAACAATCCTATTTATTGTCTACGCATTAAATACAGTTACTATTTATTAATTGCATTGTTACTGTTTATTAAGTTTTGATCCGATGTATTTATGAAGTATGGTAACTATTTATGGTTTACAGTATTACTATTTATCATGTCTTGAGCCGATGATGAATCGAATTGCTTTTAATGTTTTTTTTAGTTTAAAATTTCGATCGAGTAGTCAAGATTATATTGATTAATTTATGAAGAATTATTGTTGTGAGACATCTGTGATAACTTAAGCTTATTTATGTTTATTTTTTTACATTTATTTATATCGTACACTGCCTGCGACGGGGGTGTACGATCGCGCTGACAAGAGGGGTATGATGATGACGACGATGATGATGATAATGAGTTGCTGCTGCTCGCGCTGAGCGTCTCGTCGCAATAAACACTGCATCCGCTTTCTCTGTCGCGTCTCCTCCTCCTCCTCGGTGCGACCATGCCGAGTCGGTGGCCCAGCGATATTGGCCACGAGGCGAGACCAGTGGAGTCGGCAAACAACATGGGGCCTCCTTAAAGGCCCGTCGCCTCGTGGTTTGCCGACCGCCAGGACTAGACAGTTGTCTATGAGACAGTCGCCTGTTAGATCCGTAACTTCATGGGACCTCCCTTGCCAGTATCAAAATATAATGATAATAAGTGTTATTTCTTTATGGCAATGAAACCGTTGTGTTAAGATGCTAAAACGCTAAACAGAAACCTTTCGCAAGGAATCATGTCTGCATTCACCACATATACTTGTGGTGAACATGCAAACACAAAAAAACACGCTCTGGTAGTGTATGATGATGCATTGTCTTTGGAACTGATTGGTCCACACCTGACAGCTTTCTTTAGACCAGAGGGCGCCAAAAGGCGAACAGCACAAAGACAATGCCACTATCAGACCATTTAGAGCTCGGGGTGAGCTGTTCATCACAAGTACGTGTGGTTAATGCAGACATGATTCCTTGCGAAAGGTTTCTGGTTGGTGTTTTAACATCTAAACACAACTGTTTTATTACTCTTTGGTTTTATTCGGTAAAGTCAAGTAGGTAAAAAATAAAATAACAAAAAATCACGACGTTTCGGCCACAACACAAGTGGCCTTCATCAGGTGAAGGGACCGGACTGTCCAGAGGACAGCGCTGGAGTGAACACAGCCAAGCCCAGACCGCGTCCTTTAAGCTGTGTGGGAGGAAACAGAGCGCCTTGACAAAGGAGTTAGCATAAAAAATAAACATTTAATTAGCGGATTCAGCATGATGCACGACGGCGTAGGGGGAACATGTTCAGACCGGCGAGGGGGGGGGGGAGTTTACATAATGTTGGTGTGAAGGGAAAATAAGCAGCTGCGAAAGTTTGGGATACCACTACTTGAAAAAATATACTGTACCATTGAAAATTAGTTTAATGTTTGGTTTGATTTAGAACATCTTTCCAGTGATTGCTTAATTTGAAACCATCCTCTCGGTTGAAATTGTCTGTGTTTGTAAATCTGAATTGCCTCGTGGACAAATCTCTGATAAAAACCGGTAGGTTTGCAGAGAACCTTGGTATCGGAGAAAACTATATCGTGATCACCCACAGCGTTGTAACAGTGATCAGCTACGGCAGAGGAATTCGTTCTGCCTTGTTTCAAATCTGGACAGTCCGGTCCCTTCACCTGATGAAGGCCACTTGTGTTGTGGCCGAAACGTCGTTATTTTTTTGTTATTTTATGTTTTACCTACGTGACTTTACCGAATAAAACCAGTCACGAAAGCTTCAAATCTAGAACTGTTTTATTGCCAGAAAGGGTTAAACCTATTCTTATAGATTCGTACTGTCTCGACTAGAATGTGCTCTAGTACTTTCTAGAGTAATCTCGAGGCAAATGCTGTCAGCGAGCACCTATGAAGGCCGATACGGCACAGGAGGAAATGGGTGACCAGCAACACCACGCCCGGCCGCCTTTGTCTCCCTAGTGGCGATGTTTACAGAGTGCACCAAGTACTAAATTTGAGGATGAGTCGACTTAGGGGTTGGTCCCGGACCGGTTCCAATATTCGTCACTATTATTGGTCGTGAGTGGGAATCGAACTTGGGTTCGAAACGCAGCACGCTAACCGCTACACTACCGCCACCACCACCCACCATTCGCCACTAAGTGACGGTGACGTCCCCACGGCGCCTGTGCCAGGCCACGTGTACTTTGAGGCTATCACGTGAAGTCCTGAAGGCTCGCTGACAAAGGAAGTCTCGGGACAGACCCTGCAGGTGCCATGGGTTGGTTGACTGAGATGACCACTGGTAGATGCACCACCAGCTGGGCCCCCTACTGTGCCAGGCTAGGTGCAGGAGGAGGTCTCGGGACAGACCCAGCAGGTGCCATGGGTTGGCTGACTGAGATTACCACTGGTTGAGGCACCACCAGCTGGGCCCCCTACTGTGCCAGGCTAGGTGCAGGAGGAGGTCTCGGGACAGATCCAGCAGGTGCCATGGGTTGGCTGACTGAGATGACCACTGGTTGATGCACCACCAGCTGGGCCCCCTCTATTGTAGGTACAGCTGGTGGGTACAGCTGTACCCCCGACAATACCGCTCCCACACACGCACACACACTGGCCCATGGCTACAACATACCTTAACTTTAACACGTAGGAGGCTTTCGCGACCAATATTATTCATAGTAAAGTGTTTTGGGGTTAGATCGCATAAGTATAAATGTGTCGTAACCCTCCACCACCCGACACAGCCAATTAGTAATGGATTTGTCACGTAAACAAAAAGCCAAATAGTTACCACTTCAGCCCACCGGTGTGTTGGAGAGTAAATCTACATCATTTACTAATTGGCTGTGTCGGGTGGTGGAGGGTTACGACACATACTCACGCGATCTAACCCCAACACCTTTATTATGAACATACGGGGTGTTTCAAAAAGATGGACCCAATTTCAAAGCAGTATATTTCACGATGGCAACATGTTACAATTACACAAAAAGTTACAAACGGTTTAATGAGTTATCACGTTTTAATAACCATTTTATAAATGCTCTTTGTGCCCTCCACCTGTGCTCTTCCCCTTACACAAACAGCCCGTTTCTTCAAATCGTCGGTACCAACGACGAATGCTCTTTGACATCGGCGGATCAATGCCAAAACGCCGTTGAAACGCACGCTGCACCGCAATTACAGATTCAGTCTTGCTGAACTGCAGAACGCAAAACGCCCCTTGTGTTTGCGGGGTCACCGTCTTGCGAATGACCGAGGCTCGGGGCTGTTTGTGCGCTGGGAGAGGCATCTAGCGGTAATCATTTGAAACTTTATGCTCCGCCCTTTCAGGTGGTAAGAGTTTCACTCATGGGCGGTTCGTGTTTGAGAGAAACACCCTGTATTTTCATTCCTGAGAAATGTTGTTGACTCCGAGTGCCATTTGGAGAAACGTGAGGTTTCGGTTCGAGCGATTCAGGGACGCGCCCACGCGCGCGTTACGTAACAACCATCGGCACCGCGCCTGAACAAGGCCGCACACCAACACGCACGTTAAGCAATTTGAAGTTTAATCTGTCGTGGGTTTTTTTTTTGTAATATGCCTTCGTTAGGTTTTTATTATAATGCAATTTTGTTTTGTATGGAAATTGCTTTTATTGTTCTTTGCGATTTAGTCTTTCAACGATGTTTTATTTTTACCTGCACAGCACTTTGAATCGCATCTTTCGCACGGAATAGTGCCGTGGAAATAAAGACGTCATCGATTGCTTGAGAGGGGGGGGGGAAGAAGAAATTGGAAAGAAGAGAAAGAAGATTAAAAATATAAGAAAAAATAACAAAAAATAAAAGAAAATAAAGAAGAAAAGAAGAATAATAATAGGGTTTTCCCCCTTTTTCTGGCAACAAAACTTAAACCTTTTTACGAGGATTCATGTCTGCATTAACCACAATACCTGCAGTCAAAATGCAAAAAAAAAACATACTATGATAATATATGATGCATTGTCCTTGAAACTGATTGGTCCACACCAAGGGACGGCTTTCTTTTGAGCCTCGGCCCAATTGGTGCTCGACCACATGACGTCAGAAGGCGTACAGCTGTACGCCTTCTGACGTCCCTTAGTGTGGACCAATCAGTTTCAAGGACAATGCCACATATATTATCATAGTATTTTTTTTGTTTGCATTTTGACTGCAGGTATTGTGGTTAATGCAGACATGAATCCTTGTAAAAAGGTTTCAGTTTTGTTGCCAGAAAAAAGGGGAAAAACCCTATTATTACATTTTGGTACTGGCAAAGGAGGTCTAATGAAGAAAGAGAAAGAAGATTGAAAAAATAAGAAAATAAGAGAAAGAAGAAAAGAAAAAAGAAGATAAAGAAGATAAAAAACTAAGAAGAAGAAGAAGAAGAAAATAAAACTTGATAACCCACGAGAGTTGACTGTCCAGAGAGTATGGGTTTTGTTGAGACGAGGTGCATTAGGTGGATGAGCAAGGCGAAGTTTCTCCCGTCACTGAGCCGTGTTCGTGGGAACACGCTGCAACGCATGGCAGAACGGAGCGGTGGCAACAGGAGGATTTACCTGCAACTCTGGTTGTCGCTTGATGAGGCTGGTTGCAATCACTGGCGAAACGTCGTACTCGAATTGTAAATGTTGTTGGTTTACTCTCCAACACACCGGGTGTCCTGTACGAGTAACGAATTGGCACGTTTAATTTACGTGACAAACCTTACTAATTGGCTGTGTCAGGTGGTGGCGGGTTTAACGACACATTTATATTGATGTGATCTAACCCAAAAAACCTCTATTATGGATAATATTCGTCGTGTTAAAAGGTGTCGCTAGCGGTCAGCACACTCTGCTGGAAACCCGACAAAGTGAGTTCTATTCCGGGCCACGGCTAACATCAAATCACCCGCGGTGGCCGGGACGGCGCATGGAGGGTGACCTTGTTTTGGATAGATGGACAAACGAATAAAACGAGAAGCTGGAAATCAACACGTTTTTAAAGTTCCTTCACTCTGTGTTGAACAATGTGCATGCTTGTATGCATGTCCACCTTCTTTCGCATCGTGCATGGCCATAGCCGTCAACCCATGCGGTTTATCACGTGTTCTTGTGCAGGGAAATTGAGTTTCCAGGTCCATGCGGCGTACAGCCGTTTCAATGCGGGCAAAAAACAAGCAGAATGCTTGTCTATTTATTTGTGTTTCACCCTTGTGATGGCACTTTGCAGGATGAACGTTGAGATTTATAAGGGCACGGGGTGACCTATAAAGTCTGAGTTGGTCTGTAATAAGGTAGGGCACTGATAAGGGGTTGACAGCCATGCGTAGCCAACCGTGCTAGTCGAAGGTGCAGGGTGAAGGACAACAAACTCCACGCACACAAAAACAACAACGGTGAACTTCTCTCATTGCTGTTAAAATCATTGTCGCCTATCTTCTTCATAGCACAACGAGCGTCCCCTATTAACTTCATTCGCATCGCTCTTCGAATCACACGTCGTTCAGCTACCCACATTTTGTTCGTATTATTATTATTACCACTGCCAATGCTTCAGGCGGAGAGGCATCGCAAAGACCCGCAGATCTCTACACGTGTCTCGCCGTCATCTGAGCGGTGAGGTCATTGTCAACTTGAACCTTGACCCGCCCGCTCGCTCTGGACAAGCATCGCGGGAATCCCCCCCCCAGCGCCCTCCCCCGCAGACGCGTGCCAGCTCTACACGGTGTGCGCGCGCGTGTGTGCGCGTGTGTGTGTGTGCGTGTGTCCGTGTGCGTGTTGGGGAGCGGTGGTGTAGCGGTGA